TGCTGCTGCTGCTGCTGCTGCTGCTTAGGGTTGATATGATGCGGGATTTGGCATTAGCGAGTTGTGTTGGTTTTAGGTGTATACGCAGCAACAAAGAATAATAATTATAATTTATAGCTGCTTATTAGGGTTTAGGGTTTAGGGTTTAGGGTTTAGGGTTTGGGGTCTAGATATATACGCAGCAACATAGAATATAAATAGTAATCTATATGTATAGCTGCTTAATTAGGGTTTAGGGTTTAGGGTTTAGATGACGGGTTGTATAGAAGAAACAAGGAAAATAAATAATAATTAAATGATGATTCTTAGTAAGAGTGTTTACTTCTAGGGTTTAGGGTTTAGGGTTTAGGGTTTAGATGGTGGTTTCTATGGAGGATATTTATTTACTTTTTTCCTCATAGGGAAGCAGGCAAGAGGGTTTATTTTGCTTCTCTTTATTGAATAATAAATAATAAATAATAAAAAAAGGAAGAAAAAGAAGAAAAAAGAAGAAAAAAGAAGAAAAGGAAGAAAAAAGGGGAAAAAAGTATAAAAAGGAATAAATGTCTTATATATAGGAGAAGAAACAATGCGCAGAGAAGGGAAGGAGGAGGAGGAGGAACAAAAAGTAATAATTAAAATAATAATAAATAAATAAATAAATAATAAATTAATTAATTAATTAATTAAATTAATAAAAATAAATAATTATTTTTTTTTTTGCTGTACAAAGGAAGCGCCGATGCTGCAGCACACCCATTGGGGTGTATAGGCAGCTAAATAGTTATGCAGATAAATAGGGAGAAAAGAGGAGAAAAAAGAGGGAATAAAAAAGAAATAAATTAATTTAATTAAATAAAATATATTTTATAATTATATTTCTTTTTATAAGAAGAAAAACAACAAAAAAATAACATAAAAGAATAAAAAAGATCACCAAGAAAAGAGGAAGTGACCCCGAGACTGGCTGCAGCAGCAGCAGCAACAGCAACAGCAGCAGCAGCAGCAACAGCAGCAGCAGCAAAGGGGCTGGGACCTCGATTGTTTGTCTGAGGAAGCAAAAGGAAATCCTTTTTATTTGTTTTGTTTTATTTATTTAATTGTTTATATTTAGCTGTTGCCCTGCATTTCGGGTGTATATGCAGCACCAGCAACAGCAGCAGCAACGGCAGCAACAGCAACAGCAGCAGCAGCAGCAGCAGCAGCAGACGAACAAAGCGAACTTCCTCATGAAATAATAACCTTTATCTATATTTTTATTTGTACTTAATATAGATCTAATTAATAAACAGCAGAAGTTTCCCTGTTGCTGCTGCTGCTGCTGCTGCAGCATTTGCTGCTGCTGCTGTTGCTGCTGCTGCTGCTGCTGCTGCTTCCCCCCAGTACTATACTCTCTTTTGTCTTGTGTGTCTTGGGGGGTTATTTTTTGTGTATTTGTTTACATAAAAAAAATTAATTTTTATATAATTAATTAATTAATTAATTAATTATTTATTTATTTATTAAATTAAACTAAGAAGAAAAGAAGAAAAAAAAAACACTGCAGCATCAGCAGCAGCAGCAGCAGCAGCAGCAGCAGGAAGGAGACAAAAGGAGACACTTTATGCGTGATATATATTAACGGAGATGGAGACAGCAGCAACTGCTGCTGCTGCTGCTGCAAGAAAGAAAAGGAGACAAAAATAAAATTGAGGTGTACGTACACCAGAAAGGAGACAGCAATGTTGCATTATATATTTATTGCTGCCTAATTGCAGCAGCAGCAGCAGCAGCAGCAGCGGCAGCAGCGGCAGCAGCAGCAGCAGCAGCAACTGCAGCAGCAGGAGCAAATGCAACAGAATATAAACTAACGCAGCAGGATTAAACCCTCATCAACAGCAACAGCAGCAGCAACAGCTGCAGCAACAGTAACAACAGCAGCAGCAACAAGAGCAGCAGGAGCAGCAGGAGCAGCTGTCTCCTTTTTTATTTATTGTCTCTTCTTTTAATAAAATAAATAAATAAATAAATAAATAAAAATGAGTAAGAATAAAGAAAAAACAAAACAAACAAAGACAACAAACCCTCGGATGCCCAATGGCTTTAAACCGACGGAGACTTATTACTTAGATGCAGACACGAAAAGTAAGGGTTTAGGGTTTAGGGTTTAGGGTTTAGGGTTTAGGGTTTATGGTTTAAGGGTTTAGGGTTTATGGATTTATAATTTTTAGCTCAGGTATAAAAGGACAGTTAGCATTTGTTGTTAGGGTTTAAGGGTTTACCATTTAAATGTTGGAATTTTCTGTTAACAATCTATTAGGGTTTAGGGTTTAGGGTTTAGGGTTTAGGGTTTAGGGTTTAGGGTTTAGGGTTTATGTATTTTTTTTTTAGGGTTTCTTAGATAGAGCAGCAGCTCGCTGTTTATCTCAAGGAACAAATGCATGGACAGCAACAGATCATACTAATTATACACTAGAGACTGCAGGTTATGAGGGTTTATTCAATTTATTACCTGGTTTGTTTATTTATTTATTTATTTTTA